CCTGGCGGTATTTCACCAAACGGCACCGACCCTAGCTGCAGCTCGCCTTACAGTGCGTCCATGTCGCTGAACCCCTCACCTCGTGGCTCGTTGTCCCGTGCGCCACACCAGCGAACCATCAGCGAAAACAGGCCACTCGCTTCCCCGCGCAAGCTCGCCGAGGTTGGCAAGCCTGGTAGCGCCAAGATCTCGGGCTTCTTCATGTGCGACTGCTGTCCCAAGAAGCCAAAGAAGTTCGAGACGGCCGAAGAGCTACAGTAAGTTTGGGTTTTCCAACACGCACGAGACAATTCACTAACAGACGTAGCGCACACGAGGCAGAGAAGCAGTACGAGTGCTCATTCTGCGGCAACCGATTCAAGAACAAGAATGAAGCGGAACGCCACCAGAACAGTCTCCACGTACGCAGACACAGCTGGAGCTGCTCGGCTCTGCACAGTTACGACCGCGCTTTCCACGACAGCACCAACCGACCTGGAGAAGCTGACACTTGCGGCTACTGTGGAGAAGAATTCCCGCGCAACGGCCGGGGACCTGGTGCGACGGCACCCCGTCATGCTACGGACCAGGATTGGGAGGAGCGTATCCGCCACCTGCAAGAGGTTCACAAGTTCCGGGAGTGCAACGCCAGCAAGAAGTTCTTCCGCGCAGACCATTTCCGACAGCACCTCAAGCACAGCCACGCTGGAACCAGCGGAAAGTGGACCAACATGTTGGAGAACGCCTGCATGCTGGATGAGGATCCCACCCCCAGGTAGACGATCAACCGGAGCAATCTCGACAAGTGACTGAAAGACCCGACATGCTGGAATGAGGCGATGGATGTCGAGTAAGGAGGTTGTCGAGCTTAAAGCAAGCCCCGCGAGCACGAGTCATTCCGCAGGGATACAGTGGAGGGCATTATTTGCGGCAAAGGACGAGTGAGAGGGGCGGCATTTGCGACTTGGATACCCGACGAGGAATCGTTTCCCAGCGCAAAGCGATAATTTGGCGGCGGCAACCAGGGATTTGGATTGCACTGATGATGGCCACATCACACATCTCGTTTCGTTTCGCTTATCCAGAGTTGAAGGATTGGAAAATACCCGCTCTTGGCTGTGGACGAGACGGCTCGCTGACAGCTGGAGCAAATCAAAAAATCAAAAGTAGTCGATTCAAGCATGTGGCTCGGTGTCCACAGGTGGAGGCCTGCCACTTCGGAGCTTTTGGAGTACTGGTGATTGCAGCAGGGGGCTTTCAGGCACCGGGTATATACTGATGGAAGTTGTCTAGTTGCACATGTTTTCATATTTGTTGGAGGAAATACCAGGCATTGTTGGGCCAGAGCAGGGGAGCGACATGATGACATGATGGCACTAGAAAGAGCGGCGAGACCGCGTTGTATTTTGTACGGGCTCCGGGAAAAAACAAGTTGGTCAGTAGCGAATAAGAATAGTATAAGACAACAAGAAGATTCAAAACATATTATGGGTGCCTCGCGACTGAAGTCTGGTTCTGTGTCGATGATGATCTGCCAGACGACAAGGGCCGAGGGCAATCCTGCGGATGAGTATTTCGCTAAATGCATCCTTCACAGTGATGTAGTGGCGCTTTCCTCGGCACAACGGCCATCTTGTCAGCGTCGGACACGTTCCCAGGCCTGGGTATCCGTACGGATCTCAACACCATCATGGCCATCGTGATGGACGAAAGAGGCCGCCAAACGTCACATGACTTCAGCCCTACAAGCCACTCGCATATGTATGTGGCGATTCACTAGTGTGGCGAAGGGGGGAGGGGGCGGCGGTGCAGCGAGAAAGCGGGAGGGAGAAAAAAACGATCGGCTTCTTCTTTTGGAACACTAAGGGTCACGTTGTAGTGGGGTTCGGGTTGCTGCGAGAAAATGTCTTGGTGAGGGGCAACTCGGGGGTACTTACCTAGGTACGCCGTATGCTGTGCTAGGTGGGTGAGAAGTCACGAAGTGAGGGGAGGGTGCCTGGTGCCACGAGGTCATCCGAACCTTTACCGCGGGTGCCTGCCGCAAGCGAATTGGTGGTGGTGAAGGACAAGAGCAGCACGGGAAGAAGCACAGCAGCACGCACCTGCTGCCATCGCTGACTGCAGCACACGAAAAGTGGAGACGTTGACTCTTTTCGGCGCAAACCTTACTCACCTTCTCCCAAGCGCTGCGTCAACTGCGTCATTCTCATATCGCAGCACCTTTTACACCGAGCAACACGGAATTGCTTTTACGATTTCCACCGACCAATTCCTTGCTTTTTCCAAGCGGCTCATCATACTTCGGAAGGGACCTTCCGGTCAGCACGAGGGACAGAGACGGACGTAGCCCCGCCTTGGACGAGAAAAGTGTGTGTGTGTTTTCATGGGCCTTGGCGCAAACGCAGAGGAGAGAGAGACGACGCGGCAGAAACGAGGCACCAGCGACGGGGAAATTCCGTTTGAAAATCTCGACGGACGGGAGCAGGCTGCGGCGCTACACCAGCTGATCAGGAAAAGCTGCGTTGAGATGGCGCTGAACCGTGTGGATGGGAACGACGAGCTCTACGTCGGCGGGTGAGTTTTAACCTGCCTGCCCCTCCATAACCCCGCCATCCTAACGACGCAACGTCCAGCATCTGGGCCCTCCGCCGCCCGTCGGCGCTCAAGGAGCGCAACATCACGCACATTCTCTCCGTCGTGCGCTTCGACCCCGCGGGGCTGAAGAGCGAGACGGATACGTGGGAGAACTACGGCAAGAGCTACAAGCACATGGTCATCGACGTGGACGACGTCGAGGACTCGGATCTGCTGGTGCATCTGCCTGCGGCGGTGCGCTTCATCGAGGAGGGGCTGCATCCTGGGTCGGCGGCCGCTGAGGGCAAGAAGGAGGCCGAGGATGGGGACAGCTTCGAGGAGAAGAAGAAGAAGCTGAAGGCGGCTGTGAAGCAGGACCTGGCCGAGGATGCAGACGTCATCACGCCTGCCAACGATGACGCCCCGCCCCCTGCGAAGGAGTTCGACGAGCTGAAGCTGGAGACGGACGAGAGCAAGCCGCCGGCCGTGTACGTCCACTGCGCGATGGGCAAGTCGCGCTCCGTCTCGGTCGTCGTGGCGTACCTCCTATGGAAACACCCGGGCCGCTTCGGCCGGTCCAAGGCGTCGACCGAGGCGGCGCAGAAGGCGTCCTTGTCCAAGATGGACGAGAAGACCGCCGCGGGGGTGAAGCAGCGCGCCAAGGAGGCCGTCGAGGCGGCGGTGAAGTGGGTGCGCAACACGCGGGAAATCGCGGAGCCGAACCCTGGGTTCATTGCGCAGCTGGAGATGTGGTGGGCGATGGGGTGCCCCGCGGACGTGGAGGGGCACCCGATTTACCAGCGGTGGGCGTTCCAGCGAGAAATTGATGAGAGCGTCGCGGCGGGACAGGCGCCGTCGAGGCTGCGGTTCGAGGACGAGGAGGTCAAGGAGGACGGGGAGGGGGAGGGAAAGGAGCTGCGGTGCAAGAAGTGCCGGCGGACGCTGGCCACGCCGCGCTTCGTGCTCGAGCATGAGCCGCAGGGCCAGGCGCAGGGAGAGTGTGGGCACTTGTTCGTGGAGCCGTTGAGCTGGATGCGGGAGGAGCTCGAGAAGGGAGCCCTCGAGGGCCGGCTATGTTGTCCCAACGGCAAGTGCGGCGCGGCGGTGGGGAGGTATAGCTGGAGGGGCTTCAGATGCAGCTGCGGCGGATGGGTCACGCCGGGGTTCAGTCTGCAGAGGGCGCGGGTTGACGAGGTGAAGAAGGTCGGGACGGGCGCGAAGGGGATGGCTAGCTTGGGGATCCGGATGCCGCCTGGGACGGGACGGCTGTAGGGTCGTGGGAAATGGGGTGTTTGGAGTTTGGGGGTGGGCTGTTTGGAAGCATAGGAGGGACGGAGAGGCTAAAAGGCAATGTGCATTAGCAGAGACATAGAAACATGAAAACTGTAGACAGTACGGCCTGTTGTTTTGGTGTTCGTGTTTCCCTCGACCAGGTGTTCGACTTGAGATGGCTTCCGAGACCAGAAGTCACCGTCACCGTCAACGTCCCTCGGGTAAGCCCTCTAGGAAGATCCCGCCATACAGACTTTGTTGAAGGCAAAGAGAACAAGTCATTATTCATAACGAACAATGCATGATCTCTCTTGATCGTTCTCAAAGACGACCTTTCATCGGTTTGTCCCACGACAATCTTCAACTCCCCAAACAACTGCATTGTTGCACAACACAAAGACTGTTCCCGTCCCGATTCACCATCTCGACCACCTCCAGCAAGCCTATTTAAGAATACCTTCGAGGCTTCTCATCAACTTCCTAACCCCAGACACAACCTCCAATTCAAAGCATCACCAACCAACCACCTCCTCCGCCAACTCATCCATCACCACCACGTACCCACTGAACCAGATTGAACCGGACACAGCCGAAAAGATAGAAAAGATGTGCCGCACCCTCAAGGTAACCAACAAATGCCACTTCTGCCGCGTCGTGATGGGCGCTTACTCAGTCGTGCACAAGTGCGCGCAGCGCGTGCTCCTGCCCGTCCGCGGCGCCGACGGGCTGATGTGCACACGCCCGTACTGCCCCGTCGGCCGCGTCGACCGCCTCGAAGGCTTTTTGCCGTACTGCGAGGCGTGTAGGCAAGATTTGGAGGAGGGGGAGTTGGAGCGGCCTGGGTATATGTCTTTTAACCGGTGATGTTGTTTGGGGGGAAGGTGGATGTTGGCATATCAAGGGATCTTGCTTTAAATTCTAAAAGCTGTGAGGTTTACGAAGGTTGAGAGGAACTAATGGGAGGCGAGAAGTTCTGTTTTTTATCTTGTTTATTTTGTGTTTCGTGATTTAGCTTGAACTATTCAGAGGGACAGCGTGCGACTTGTTTGGTTTGGGAAAGGGGGCGTTTTGGCGATGGCGCGGGTTCAAGTGCTTTCATTGCAACAACAAATAAATTCCCGCTGTATTTTTGGGTAATATCTATGTAAGCAAAATTCTCTGTTTTCATCAAACAATCAGAAGGCGCACATGGCGCTTCCCTTGCCCTTGCAACAGCTCGCAAGCGCGTCGAGTCCGTTGTCGGGAATCCAGTATTCCGTCTAACAAGAGTTAAAATCTTTGAATATAGGGTTGCTTGAAAGGAAATGTATTAATAGGGGGTTATGCCAACTTACGCCGTCGAAACGTCCCCGACAGCAGTCCTGCGTCTGGTCGTTGTGCGGGACGACTTGCTGCTTGTCGTTGCTGGTGCAGCAGTAGCCCGAGGTCTCGGCAAGGGCGCTTTGAAAATGCCAATGGTAAGATTGCGGGTGAAGAAAGAGTACAATGGGGAGAAATGGGGGTCCTTACCAGATGGCGAACAGACCGCCGGACAGGAAGGTGGACAAACGCATATTGGGTATCTTTTAATGAGGGTGGAAATCGAAATAGCTGGATAGGGAAAGGGGAGGTGTCAACTCAAGCCTTTCCTCTAGCGGGCCAAGAACACAACTTATATGAACACGAGCAGAAACCCAACAGCTTTCTACCGGGATACTGGCGGTGAATTGGCACCCCGCGAAGTCCGGCGGTTAATGTGCCTGTTTTACCGACTGCCTGGGTGCCGGACATCATGCGATGAACTCGGATTGAGCCCCGTAAGGCTGCCTGACTCGTGGGTGAACGGAGCAGCCCGCTGGGGGCGTGTGGATGAAGCTCAAGTGTGACACACGTCCTATAAGTTGCAATGAGTTGGTTGTGAATCATACTTTGGTGGAAGAAATCCGAGAGTTTCCGTTTTACTCGGAATTGGGTTCTGCAATGCTTTTTGCCGTCGAAAGGGAGACAGACATTCTGCCTTGGTTGGTTGACTGAGAAGAACAACTTGCGGTGGAGATGCGGATTGAGGATGTAATCTATTTGGGTTTTGTCTGAGTCGCGGGTGGGCGAAAGTCTCTAGCCGATTACTATTTCCTACCGCTGATCGAAATCCTCAGACCATGCTGTCACAGGTGGTCGTAATTCATACACTTTCAACTTTAACGCATCTCGAATGGTGATGGGTACTCCCGTACATCTGCTCTCAATTTGGTGTTCTTTGATCCATGTTATTCAGTTTCTTGATCAGACTCAAAGGCAACGGGACAACTGACCTTCACGCACTATTAACAAATACCTCAATCACTCTTCGGCGGGTGCCGTGCTACATCTAGCTGCAGGACAGCTAAGACCGTAGCTGCAACACCGAAACCAAGGGTGAAGAAGAAGATCAACAACCCAAGCCAAAAGGTCCAGAACTGCATGGGGTTCCGTCTGTCTTTCCAAATTGTCCGCCACCTTCTGGGGGGATTGAGAAACTCGTATGCAACGTCTACGAGCCGGGCGCGGTAGTATCTGAACTCTCTAAGGCGCGGGCTGTCTGGGAACGGCTGCTTGAACTTATGTAAGTTCACCCCTTCCTGATCGAGTATTGGACGTTTCCCTTTCGCCGCGAGGGTAGCGATAGTTCAGTGAGGCGATAGTCTCTTGGATAATCTCACGGGGCACGAGGAAATCTCTATGCGAAATTAGCGATAGGCTTTCTGTGTTCGTATAAGGACTCAGGCACTTCATCTCCAATGCATCCAACAGCCATCTCATATCTTTGAACACGTATAAGACGGTGTAATCTGACGTTGCGTCGAATTTCAGGTGCCATGGCAGATCTTGGTCTCGGTAATCTCGATGCGAGTGTGCTTCTTAATGTTGACAACGGTCAGGCGGTATGTGAGACGTGCTTGTACTGCAGCGAGCTCGGAGTCCTCAGGCTCTATGAGGGACAACAGGTCGGTAGATTTGCCGATCCTTCCTGCGTCGAAAGTACTGCGAATGTACTCCCCAACGCTTTTGTCGTCTGGCCAGGCTGGGGATACCTGAGCGGTCCGATCTTCCCCTGGGCAGACGGAGCTTACGCGAAATACCAAACAAGTAGCGCGATGTATAGCGCTCTTCAAATCCGAGGGTTCCTTTTGATTCTCAGTTATTTCCTTTAGGTTGATGAGAATATCCGCTTCTGTCGCTGTTGAAAGGTCAAGGGTGCCGTCTGTAGGCTGCGCTTTCCTCAGGAATAAATTGACAGCTTGAGATGTGAGTTGAAGGCATTCGGAGAGGGCCTGGCATTCTCTTGTTTTCGTTTACGAAAGAAGATCTCTCTCGATGAATTCGAAGTATGGCGTGTGCCAAACTTCCTCTTCAGCCGTTCGGTATCTATCGAACCAATCAAGCACAATTTTCTTCTGCTCGGTGTCCATCCCAAAGACTACATGCAGAAATTGAACGGATTAGCATTCTTGATGACCCGGGTTTCAGGTTGAAATGAGCAGCATAGGTAATACGGTGAATTTCGTGTGTTGCCGATCCGGGATGGCTGCCATGGGGTAAAGCCGTGGTCAGCTGAAGCGCTGTAGCACGCTTTCTACCGATGTGTTCATAGAGAAGACACCCTCGATAACGACAGGAACCACACATTCAGTTATAAAAAAACGCTTGTTGTCTCTCGCTGCAACCTTCACCTCCCTCCCTCAGATGAGGTGGGTGTGAGACACATTCAGATGCAAGGCATGAAATGAGAGCTGCATCTTGGCCAAGTTTCACAGGCTATTCGCGCAGCAATAAGCCGAGCAATGCAGATGCAATGAATATTTGACCAATCCAAGCGGCCCAGTAAATCAAGTGATGTGCTTGTGAAACCACACCTGTCAGCAGGATTTGATGATTTGACATGGCTGGGCGCCGAAAGCAGTCAATATTGTCTGCAGGGTGTGAGGTTCCACACCCATCCTCGGAAGGGTTGGTTGGGGAGGAGCATGCCCCGGCAAGGCTCCCACTCGAATCCGAATACTAAATGGTCAAACATCCGCAACTATGGAAATCCAGCTGTGTCCCTTTGAGCGTTAAGTATTGGATCCTTTTCTAGCCTACCATCCACTGTCATCGAGATATCCTTGTTTGGCCCCAGAAACAGTGATCTAGGGAGACACCCGCTGGATCTTTCCCCACGAACTTTGAGACTCCGGGCTTACCGAAGTTTTGTCTCCATCTTGGAACATTTCAGAAACGATTTCGATCGCCTCGACACGCAGGCAGCACCGCATGTCCCGACGGACGTACACCTGAAGTTGCGGGAAATCCTACCGCTGCTTCAAAATATGGAATACCTGATGCGACATCCAAAGTCGCGGAGAGCCCTACGACGTCAGATACTCGGTTCAAGTCCGAATGGTGTCAGACGATGAAAGAGAATGGCAGCCTAGACTTCTGATTCTCTGTGGCGAGAACCTACGGCACTACTTGAAGTCCGAACTCGCGTCGTATTCGACCACTCTTTGCGAATCTAGCTTTCGAGCCCCTACCCCCCCCCCCCCCCCCCCCCCCCCCCCCCCCCCCCCCCCCTACCCCCCCATATCTTCGAACCATTTAGCTACGCTGCTAATCAGGACTATCAGCCGTCGGCTTCGACCCCACAGATCAGTAGCAGTACCCTTGGGTCAATTCGGCCGAGGACCCGTGACGACGTAGACGAAAATTGGGTTGTAACCATCGGCGGTATCATTCTCGTTGACGATTTGTCCTACGGTTTGACAACTGGGTACTACCGGAGCTTTTCAGCTTCAAACAAGCACGGAAAAGAAGGTTGGTCGTTAACGAAACAGAGCAAGGGACTTCTGGAAAGGGCAGCCGAAGAAGAGTGCTTCAGATTTGATGAAAGGACCAACCAAGCTGTTGATTGGGCGCTCGGTTCAATGAATGACAGGATTCGTTTTATGTCTAATCATCTCATGCTGTCATCGGAACCGAACCTTTCTTTGTTTATGGACGAAATAATAACAGAACGTGAATTCGTTACGCTGCCGGATATCCGAAGCACCGGAAGAACGAAATGCGTTGTCGCAACTCCTCAGGGTCTGATTCCTGGTTTTGTGGCCACAGGGCTTTCAACCATAGTGCTTGATAATGATCCTTTTGAAGTCCTAAGCATAGAATTGGAAGAGTTGATGCGTATGCTTTACTTCACTTAATTCTTTTTTTCAAGTTTGTGGCTAATCACTTAGAATACAGCTGCGGGAAGCTCAGGATTGTGGGTAATAGTTGACAACAGGCTTCTGGGAAGTATCATTGCCGCGGAAGATACATTTCCTCGCGCCTGTGTCCTTCCCATAGAAGGAACGTTTCGGAGCATCGACAATGCCCTTGAAGCTTCAAACGTTTCACTTCCATCTGCTGTAGAGACCAGAATATTTGAGTTGGATCACCTTTCTGACGCATCGACATGGCTTGAGCCAGCAAATTTAAGTAACTCGTTAGAACGCGATTTACTATTGGCTGTGAGACAGGCGGAGGCTAAGACCAACCACGACGAACTTACCAACGCAAGCACTTGCGATGGAATAGGTTAGGCTGGTATGAGGAGGGAAGAGATTATGGGAAACTCACTCACTCTCGTCGAACCGTTTGCCGATCCAAACTTCAAGGTCCGCATATATGAGCGGCTTACAGGTTTAAAAATGGACACCATAAGGTCTCTTATGAAGATTGGGCACATCTTTCCGATACATTCAGAATACCGCACCATTTTCCTCGGATGGGTAACACGCAACAAAGTCTCCCACCTTCGCGGGACTAGAGCGATTGCTGTCAGAATAATTCTCGAAGAATGTCTGGGCACTGAAGCTGGAGAGAACCTGTTAGGTCTGATCTGTACTCTCAAGGTGCTTTTGCAATTGAATCGGGGGGACATACACAACCAGGGCTCGAGAAGCTCACTTAGTGAACTTCGAGCAACTTGGATTGGGAGACTCTTTCGATCAATTTTCAAAGGTCTAGAGTTCCCCCCGATTCAGATTCCTAGCCAGCCTCAGATACAGGCCTTCGCATCTCATTACTTAGCAGGATTCAAAGGCGCTCCGTATCTGGGGTTCTATGAACTATTTACGGGCAGCAGAGGATCTCTAAGTCCTGAAGCCTTCCTTCGAGTAAAGGCTAAGCCCGCAGGCGCATCCGGTATCGCTCTGGAGAGCCATCTTCCGGAAACTGGAGAAGCTTCATACGAACAGCGTTCTGGAGTTCAATTCTTCACGCGGATGCTACTTCAACTCAGCGACCTCACCAATGGCACTGGAGACCAAGTTCTTGTATGCTCTGGAGAACCTTGGGCGATATGGATTCGAATAATTGCGCAAGTACTTGGGAACACCGTCAGTGTCCGTTCATACCAAGCCAACAACTCATTGGCTTTTGTGGGGCGAGAAGAGCTGTTCCCTGGTGTCTGTATCTATGCCGGCATCGACATCAGGGTTTCAGAAGTCTTAAAGAGGCAAATCATGACCTCAACTCAAGAAGCGGTCACTTCCAGTAATATCCCACCTGCTGAAAAGAGCTTGCCCACAGAACGACCCCAAAGAACACTTAACGTACACTCAAGATATGTTCGTTTGCACAAACGCGAAGGTCGTCCTGAAACGTTGGTATCTCGTCCACAACGGCCTTCGTTTCTTGGTATAAGTTTGAAGCCATCGAAGAAAGACGAGAAATTACTCGCCGGATACCAGGCTAGGTCAAAACCCAAGACTTCGTCACACATACGGTGGGTTGATGGACTGCGTGCCAGACTGCTCATATGACGCGACAAAGACGTAAAACGGCCAAGTCCTGAACTTCGTTCCAGATGCCCGGCCCTTTCAGGCTCCAAACCCTCGAAAAGGCCGAGAGTTATTCGTCCACGGCGATGACATATGTGAACGGAAGGTTCTGAAAGTAAGGATCACTAGGGGCTACCTTTTATTCCAATTCCTCTCTTAACGGTATCTAGCTTGAGGCATTCGGCATTTTCTTTCGTTCTCTTACGCCTAATAAATTCAAGGTGACTGTCTACAAGCGCCTGCGTAAGTGTCCAGAACATGTGCATGCGCGACTGGTGTCCGGAAGCATCACTGCACAGGAGTTTTAATCGATCATGTATGTATTTTGAATTTAGTGAGAACTCATACAACGGAACATTTCTTTCATGGCCGTCAAACATTGAGTTCGAATTCTGTGAAGACTCTTTAATGCTTCAATAAGCAATGTAGGCAAAGTTTGCGGGAAACAGTGGGGCACTTTTACTCAATTTAAGGCCAGAGAAGCCGCTTCTCCCATGTGCCTTCCTCCGATCCAATGTTGTAAGACAGTCTTTTATGGAGGCGACTCTGAGCACCTTGCCAGAACTCAACAGTCGTCGGGTCAACAGTGTACACCGTCCATCCCGGAAGAACAATACCAGGATTTTCATCCACCGTCCGGCGTGCCGCATCCAAAGCTTGAAGGAGCTGGTTTTCATCCCGGAGCACCTGGCTCTGTTTGGAAGCTAGCGCAGACACCTTCGAAGATGAAGGACGATCAGTAAAGTCACGCCGGCTCTCATCCACAGGAAGCGGGTAGGCCTTCCCGCGAACGCGTATCTGGCGACCTTGATCGGGCCAGTAGAAAGTCAGAGCAGCATGGCCGTTACTTGACAGTTGATGCCCCTTTGGGCTATCTGCCTTGATCGCAAAATGCCAGCCACGATGGTCCACGTTCTTGAGGATCAGGACTCGAGCATCCGGACACCCTTGCGCGTCAACCGTGGAGAGGGTCATTGCGTGGGGCTCCTTGACTCCAGCTTCTACGGCCTCCTGGAGCCAGCGGGTGAAGGCTTCTTGGGGCGAAGCGGGAAAAGTGGTGAAGTCGCACTTCTCGAGACATCCTTGAAGGACTTTGAGGTTACGCAGCTGCGTCCGTATGGCGTTTCCCTCATGGTCGGCCATTTTCGTTGGTTGAACTTGATAGAGTCAACGTCAGGTCAAGAGCAGCGATTTCTACTTACCAATGGGGGCGAAAATGATGAATGAGAATTGATGCTTTTTGTCTGGGAAAGAGAAGTTGAATTGCGCGTTGTCTCGGGCTGGCTCTAAATAATGAGCTCGCTTGAGTGACTCACACCAAAGTCAATTCAAGGGCGTGATGTTGGCCCGTTTTAAGACCTCCGAGGGACGTTAGCGTGTGATTAGAATTGAGTTCTATTGGCTAGATCGGCTCAGCAGTCCCGATCGTCGTCAAAACTGCATATTAACGCAACTGTCTCGCAACGGATCAAATCAATATAGAATGTGTTACGGCTGATTGCTGAACATTTTGTAGAATGAACCAATGTCTAGTCAACATTGCTGCAATCTGGAAATGACTAGCTGGGATGGTGCTGCAACGTATCACGAATTGCCGCTTCTAAGACGATGTTAGAATAACCACCAAGTTCCGGCCCAAGTTCCGGCCCAAGTTCCGGCACAGCCGTGATGTTTACAGATGAATGGTTTCGGAGTTTGAGTTCACTCCGAAATCCTCATCCGGTTGTTGAAGACCTGAGTAAGCAGCATTTAACCAAGCTTTGAACAAGGAATGCCCCTTCAGCCCCAACATCTGAATGACACGGTTCCTAACGGCTGGACACTTTGAATGACACGCAGGCGTACCCCTGATTCCATCGAAGAAAATGAATAGGGGCCGGAGAAGGTGAGACGAAAAAATTTCCCGCGAATGACTCTCGGAAATGCATCATCGCATTTCGTCCCGGCCACGGTGGATGTCCCCGTTCGTTCACTCATTCACTCATTCATCTATCCTCTCCCCCACACTCTCTCTTTGGCCCCTCAGAGAGTGCAACTTCAGCCTTACACACAAATTTCGCCATATTTGATGCTGTGTTATAGCTTCTTCCCTCCCTCTTCCTCCGTCCGGCGATATCTCGGAAGTTCACCGACATGGCACACGCAAGCAAGTCTCAGCCCGCACTCCTCATGACGACCTCATCATAACTAACCTCTCACCAGACATGTCTTCAACACCCTCAGAAAAGGTTCCGGCGCTCTTTGGCTGCCCCTGCATCTGGAGCCACGTCCCCCTCTACGGCGCCGCCAAACGTCGTCTCCCGTACCACCATGCGCCTGCGAAACCCGGCGCACCCGGTCTCACCCGCCGCCTGCCCTCGGAGATCATCCTCTGCATCGTCGACGCCCTCTTCGACCTGCACGCCAAGGAAGTCTCCCTCGGCTACGAGAAGTACTGGGAGTCCTCCTGTCTGCCCTACGAGACCGAGACCTTCTGCCCCTTCTGCATGCTCCCGCGCTTCGAAGTCTGGCGCGACGTCGCCAACCTCGCCGCAACGTGCCGCGCGCTCTACGACCTCGTCACGCCCGTGCTGTACCGCAAAGACGCGCGGCACAACCACGCTTCCGCGTTGCTGATCGCGACCAAGAGGGGCAACGCGCGCGCCGTGAGCCTGGCCCTGGAGAACGGGGCGGACGTCGACGAGGACGACCACACCATGCCCCTGCAGTGGACGAACGAGTGCTTCCGGTACTGCGAGAAGTGCGAGTATCAGGTGTGGTGGCGGGAGCCACGGAGGCTCGACATGGGCGCGCTGCATTGGGCTGCAATGTGCGGCAGGGAGGAGATTCTGGCGCAGCTGCTGGCCCGCGGGGCGGATGCGAACAAGAGGGCGACGGTGCAGCCTGTGCTCGATGCCGGGAACTACGGGTCGTTGAGGTATGTGGAGGACTTCTGCGACGAGTACAACGCGAGCTTCCCGTGCGAGTCGCTCCAGACGAATTTCGACATCCGGCCGGAGTTGAGCACCGGCGGGGCGAACCCCTTGTACTTTCTTCTTGGAACGAGCGGGATGAGAGCCAAGGGAAAGACAACCTTCATGGCGAGGGCGCTGATCGAGGCCGGTTCGTCGCTTGTCACGCATCAAGGGACGGGCCTTCATGCGCTTCACCAAGCTGCGGCGTCTGAGAACCTTGAAGTGATGGAGTATCTCGCCGCAGAGCACAAGGTTGACCCCAATGTGGCGGATGCAACTGGCAACACAGCGCTGCATCATCACCTTCTATCGCGGTTTCGGTCATCTATACCAAAGGATGAGAAAATCCTTGAGAAGCTCATCAGCATGGGGGCCTATGTGAATGCCAGGAACATGCGGGGATCCTCGGCATTGGATCTATGCCTGGAAACGGCTACTGTTACGACGGACAAGTTGAAGGTTGCCGTTCTGCTGTGCACCCACGGGGCGACAATTCGGGAGCAAGACTTGAATCGTTATCGGATCAGGTTGAACGAAGGACAACGAGACCAACTTAACCTGGCCATGGAGGTAGCAAGAGCTTGCGGTCGGAGCGATTGGCGTGAAGTCATATAGACATTTTTCAAGGCGTTATAGGTGCTGTGTACATAAATCGGGGCATATGGAGAATTGGCATGGGGTTGCGTTCAGTATGTCTAGGTACTCAGAGTTGAGCCGAAGTTGTTAGACGTGCATGGCCAAGAGATTAGAGGGACTAGATTTGAACACTGGTGTTAGAATTAGAATGAGTTGAGACTCAAGTATTACAACTCCAAGCTCTGAAGTTGAGCGACACTTCAAACTCATGACGCGATTCCCCCTAAGGTATGTCCCTTCAAGCATAACACGCATCGTATCTGCCCTCAAATTGAATGAACATCAACGCAATTACCCCAAGACTCAACTCAAAAGAACCCCTGACGTCTCGGGTATAACACATGCTAAGCAAAGGGGACGTTCAGATAAAGAGGATTAGTGGGCGTCCCTCAAGCTCAAACTCTCAAAATTCCTCCTCATACGCTTAAGGTATATCATCAGAGTAAACCGCCGGATCAGGCCATGAAAGATCTAACTGCTAGAAGTCTCTCATAAAACACCATACCATCGGAAACATCCTCGCCATCGAAGAACCGACTACGGGCATAATCACAACCGCACTAGGCGCCGGATCACCACATCCCCACGTAATCGCCGACATCCTCCAACAACCAGCAAATCAGAACCTCCCCCGAAGTCATCAGCACAAACCCACATCACCATCCATCATCACAATCACAGCACGTATAGTCCCAAAATGTTCAAATCGAGTAAGTGAGAAAAAAGCCTGCTGATCCCATCGCTCCCTGTCCGCAAATAACTCATATGCTCCGCCGCCGCCGCCCAGCCCGCGCGCCGGAAAACACCAAAACAAACTTCTCACGTAAGATTACCACAACTCCCGTCAAATCTTGGTACGCATGCTGCAAAACGCAAGGTTGACAGCCCCTCCTTCCAAGATCCTGATAGTTTCAGAAGTCGAAAACAAGCGATCTGCGCAGCATCAGAACGCGTAAACCCCCCTCATGGACTGAAACAGACCAAGGAACGAACTCATATCTGATGCCAAACGATGACATCCGCCAAAGCTTCAATCTTGTTCCTATGGATCTAGTCTTAAATGCTTAAGGGGTGCTGACACTCATCAAATCTGACAGGAGCTCCCAATCCCCCCATAGGCCCTGTCCCCAAAAACGCCTTGTTTCATCCTTTGCCAAAAAACATGATCACAGCCGGTCTGCTTACACCGACATTCTCACCAGCCCTCGGCACCCCCACAGACGGAACCAAACACAAGCGGCTCAGTAAGCATCTGATAAAAAACAATCCGCCCCGAGGAGAGAAAGCCACACCAAAAGCAGCCAGCTAGCCTAGTCCCCAAGCCGGGGACCCGCCTTGCGTCCCGGCTTCCCAAAGACCCCCGCCAAGGTCCGAGGCATCCAATCTCCGTCTTCTCACCCCCGCGCGCGTACGCCCCCGGCACTTCGCTCCGCTCCGTCAGCACCTCACATCAAGGAAACAAGAAACCGAAAAGGCCTGACTCATACACGGCATCGCGAAGCATTGACGACGCAATGACGTCTGCTCCATGCCGAGGAGAAAGAACCTTCCCATCTTCATGTTTGCATGATTTTGAGCTCAGTCTCTTCTCAAGATCGTCTGTTGTTCGGAGAAAAAAAAAAAGAAAAAAATACAGACGGCATTGTAAAACGTCCGCGCCGCAGGAGCTGTCATCACGCTTCTCAGCATCAAGACGGGTCCGTGCCACCGAGCGCCGTGCCATCAACGGACGCCTTCATAAGCAGGGCAGATCAGAAACTACTCAGCCCTGGCCGTGACGTCGAGGGCAGTTCGGATGAAAGGACGCCGTGAGGAGGCCCAAGCGAGGAGTTCCCTTGTTCGACACGGTAGTTGAAAGGGCTCCATCGCGTCGATTTGCCCACGATTCTGCGCATGTGCCTTGGAAGTCTAACAACCCCTAGTCATCTTCAAGTTCATGGGGGAAGTGCGAACGTGGGCCGGCAGGCAAGGATGGAGGGCGGGATAAGAAGAAGAATTTTCAATATGCAGCGGCAGTCCAAGAAGATCGGTGAGATTGAGCTGCGTCAAGCCACGCGCATGCCACGCCCCCTCCACCCATGCCATGCCGCCATGACGATACCCTCACGCCCACGGCGCGAACTCGCTCAAGTTGACAATACCCCAGTGGCGTGAGGCAGAGATGCCGCTAAGATGCTGACAACCCCCCCCTACCCCCCCATTTACCCCCGTTTGCTTTTGGGTACTTCCATCAGGAGCTGGACAAGTACCTCTTTTTGAAGATACTTTGGCATTTTGGCCCCCTCCAAGTGGTCTTCTGGGTACGGGGAGTGGAGTAGGCGGGCGTGGTTCTCCCCCCATCATGAATAAGACCCTAGTAGCGGAATCGAGTTCTGCTCTCTGATCGATGATCGTCGTCTGGGGCAGAGAGTGGAGACCGGAGGGGGGACCATATGGTGAGATGTATGCGTGTGGCGCCCCGATCACCTCTTCGCTTCGCCGTGGCAGACTCCTGTTGGAAACTTGGCGGTGCTGGATGCGAGAGCAAGTATGCCATTGGATTGTAAAGAAAGCCATCTTGTTGAGCTTTCCAAGCTTACCCATCCAACAGTCCGGCGCTCAAGATGGTGACACAAGCCACAGCAAACAACATCCTCGAATCGAAACCATATCTGGACCACCATCAAACGGTAAGGCTGTCAATGTCTTATTGGCCTTGAATGCCGGAACGTCAACGTTCTCCATTATGATCACGTCTCTTTGGGGACACCTGTCTCGGCCGTAAACGCTTTCAAGGAAGTGCGGTATTGCTGACGTACAAGACAGGCAACTGCTCTCACACTGTTGTCAGGTAGACATCGGGCGCGCTGATGAGAGCCTCGTGCCGAATGTGGCACCGCGTAATTCTGACGTGATAATGGTAGTGATACCAAAGGCCCAAAGTACGGTGGTTAGCGTGAGGCTAATCGACGTAGTGTCCGCTGTCCGAATCCATGCCTCTAGGTACGACGTTGATATGCAGTGCCTGCTGAACCTGACCACACCTAGTTGCCTCGTGGCTCAGCCAGCCACCGTTTCGGAGGGGCTGCTGAAAAGAGACAGTAACTCGGCTAGCGGCTAGAGCCTAGAAATAGGCAGAACCCCAAAAATCACTCTTCTTTGCCGACGGAAGTTTCTTTTTCTCCATTGCAAGGTTAGCTGGGGCGTAAGCATGCGCCGCAGCTCTGCGGCGACCGCCCGAGGCACTGTAACCGGGCTCAGAATTAAGGCACAACCTCGTTCCTAGTGGGGTTTCGTCCGAATGGAGTGCCTGGTCGAGAAGAGATTCTCAAGTGGTTTGTAAGATGCGGTACTTGCCGTGATGGAGGCTCTGCGACGGTCAAACTCTTGACGGAGTTCTCCTCGAAAACGGCATGCGATCTGCTGTGGGGTCAGAAAGACCCTTGGCTTGCCCCAACATGAGTCACCTGATGCCCAAAGACCTTGTCTGGCCTGCCAGTCTTACTGGCGTGGGACTGGGTCGAAGATGCAACGAGATAGTCGTATTCGCTTTCTTATCGTTGTTGAATTAACCGGTTGGACGGGTGGCGCGGCTGGTAATCAAGCTGGGTGCAGATCCAGTGGACTTTCTAGCGTAGTGTTCATCTTCAATCACGCCTAGGAAGGCTGATGATTTGCGTCAAACTGCAAGTTGAAGCTGGTCTTGTACTACCAAGAGCTCCTTTGTGCCTCAAAAGTGATACTCTAGCAACTGTGGAACAATGTTGCTGCCATGCCTGAGTCTCTGCACTGAAGGACCCGATACGGCCGCAAGCCACAGGTTCCAGACCAGCTGCTAATAATGGATTGTTTCGGTGCCGTGATTCTTGAGGCGTGTCGATTGATCGCCATCCGATTAACGCAAGGTAACACGCGGATCCAGCAGCTGGTGTCAGCCCTAAGCTTCTCTGGGTGACGGTCGCAGCATGTTGGCCCTGTCGCAACCCTGTGGTGTGAGTGCGTTTACCGAAGTCCCAGGGGCCACTTGAAACCGACCTGGCAATGTTCACTCTGCGTGGCGCCAACATCATCGTCTCGCTGAAAACGACTCAGCTTGGCTGCGTACGTGAACCTTCCGGTTGGCTCCAAGGGACCTTGGCGCGGGCCGGTGATAGGACCTTTTCAGGTGATCTTAAAGCCGACGATGCCGCTCAGGTCATGTCCGCGTGAGGTGGCAGGAGACAGGGTGGCATCCGCTGCATACCTCACGCAAAACGTGACGGCCTCATGTAAGTTGCTGGGGGACTTTCAGGGTGCGAGCACCCCGCTTCATGATGTTCTTCCGTGGTTCGCCCTTGGCAATCTCTCAATGTAGTGCACTCCGCGAGTTGAAATGTTTTTGATTTGTGGGACAGGGGCACATGCAGATGTTGCCCGGCAGCGTAAGCATTGTCAGCACTAGGCCCGACGCGGGACTTGGGTGACATGAAGCATGACGGCTGGAGATCGTTGGGAGGCACAGATGGAGGGACAGGTTTCTCCAATTCCCTGCAAATCTAACAGTTGTGGATCAATTGTGGTCCAATGTCGTGCTTGATAGATGAGTCGAACAAAGGCGTACGGAACGGCTAGGAGGCGTCGATAACCGAGACCAAGGCCTGGACAGGCCACTCCGTTGGAGTCATACAGCAGAAGGCTGATATTGAGAGGCAACTCGGGCCGTGGTGTAGTCTTGGATCTTGGACGTGTTCGGTCCGTGAAAGCCAGGGAAGCACTCCGAGAAGAGGAAATGAGGTAATGCAGGGAGACTTATTGAAAGATGCTTCCAAGACTGAATGCAAGGCGGCAACGGGACAAGCTAAGCTCTGCAACGGAGGTTGGAAACCCCGTCATTAGTGCGTGCCGCTGTTGACGGCAGGTATCCGGGGTATTGCTTCGAATTCTGTGAATGTCACAATTATCTGCATGAGATCGAGTCCTGGGTCTGTCGAAGAATTTCCCGCTAGAGACTTCCAAGTTGCCCGGATGCCATAGCTACACCCCCCAGTGATCTTCGCAGGGATGATAACGGAACTGCACCTTGAACGGCAGCTCGTGCTCCCGCGCTGCTCCAACAGCCCATTAGGGCTACTGCAGGTCGTCTTACGCTGCACGGAAGCAATACCAGCAAAAAAACCAGCACACCGTAGACACTCGTAACTGAGCCAACCAAAAGGGCTCCTTCGGACAGCGGATCCCACGGTTGTCGAACCCGAGGTCAAAGCGTTGCTCGAGCAGACGGATGATAGCCGGCGCGGTTCAAATTGGAGGCACACGATGCAGCCGGCCTGATTAGGATGCAAATTCCCTGTACATGGCTTGGCGCAGGTGTGATCCAGATATCAAGAGCATATGATGTGAGGGGGGTGGATCACAGCAGCCGTGACAACTTGCTGGGAACTGGGATGCGGCGGTTGAAGTCGATGACCAGGCAGGCTGACATTGATTGATGTGACATCGCGAGACGCTTATTGTGGAGCGTACAAGCCGCCAGCCTTGATGCAATGTGAAGGGGTCTCTTAGCTACCTGGGGCGCCTTTGGGGACCGAGGGAAAGAAGTTGGGCTGTTGGAGACGCTCCCGGTTCCTCTTGGCAATCTCCATCTGGCGCTTTTTTTCGAGCCTCATTCCATAGAAGTTCCTGACGGCAGATGGTTAGCGTTGCATCAGCATATGCAGGACCAAGAGATCATCTACTTGTGGAGCGCGAATACTCGGGGCTCTTCTTCCGTGGATGGAGTTTCCGTGCCGGCACCGTCCTGGACAAATGTTAGCCGAAGCTCGGGGAAACATGTACGATGCCCCGGAGTCTAGTCCGATATCCATGGCAAGGCTCCGACTTTTACCTTTTCGGCAGCCTTGCTGTCGTCATCCTTCTTCTCATCGTCAGCCTTCTTTTCGTCCTTGTCTTTCTCTTTCTCCTTCTCCTTGTCTTTCTCCTTGTCCGTGTTCTTGTCCTTCTCGTCCTTCTCCTTCTTCTTCTGCTTCTCTTCGTATTCCTTCTTGACCCGCTCAATTTCGTCTTCCATCTCCTTCTTCTTCTTTGCTTCGACCGCCTCTTTGTCAATGATCGGGGAGCAGAAATTCTTGTCCTTCAAATGGCTCGGGCAAACGTAGAAGAAGTCCTGAGACATAGTCAGACGTCGTCAACGTTGGGCATCACAGTAAGCGTATCGTCTACCTTCTTCTCGTCGGCAACGAGAACGCTACTCGTAGCTCGATAGCATACGTCACATCCCTTGGCGGCATTCTCAGCTACCTTTCGGTGGGTGTAGATGTTAGCGAATGACATGATGACGGCAAACAGCTTCGGGCGCTGCGAGTGCAGCTGGGTAATCGGTCGTGGGAGGCGTGGATGAGCGGCGAGAGATATCGCACTGTGTCCAGACAGGCGCCTGAGTGTGGTCAACCGAAGAATGGCTGACGCGCAATGGTCGCGTCGAGAAGGTAGAGGTGAAGGTGGAGGCGTGATGTCGGAGGTGACGATGGCAGGAGGTGAGGTTCTTGTGCTGGTGGGGGCAAGGAAGGAGCCGGCGGTGTTGGCGCTGGCAATGGAAAAGGTAACCGCGGGGTGGCTGCTGCTGTCAAATCACCACCAGCTGTAGGGGCCTCGGATGGCGCATCCTCCACTGTGACGTCGGGCTTTCAGGGGAAAACTGAACCCTTCGGGTGGTCAAAGCACCCCTTAGCTCGCGATAAAGTCAAAGATAAGACAAGGCTGAGCGTCTGCGTCTCCGACAACAGCTCCGATAATTAAGGATTTGCGGGTACAGATGACTCAAGAACCTTGCTACGCTATCCCCCTCCCCCTCTGTGGACAATTGAAAGGCTGCATTTGATCTAAAAGTCAATTGAGTCACTGAGTTTGAAGTTCATTCTCTCAACTCGAATACCAGTTGGACCCCCCACGACCGAATAGCCTCCACACGACCGTCACGATGGCTTCAGGCTCAAAACCGGCCGAGAACAAGCTGTGGGGAGGTCGCTTTACTGCTTCGTTATTGCTGTTGCCCCTCCACTGGCTGCGAGCGAGGGCATTCACACCTCATCGTATTGACAACTCGATATCGACATGAAACTGACGACACTCAGGCGGCCTCGGACCCCTTCATGGAGCAGTATAACAAAAGTATTCACTTCGACAAGCACTTTCACAGCAGGGGATCTACGGCAGCATTGCCTTCGCCCGCGCGAATTCCAACAATGGCATTCTTACTCAACACGAATTCGAGGAGAACGAGAGGGGCCTGCTGGAAGTTGAGAAGGAATGGGAGGCTGGCAACTTCAAGATCGTCCAGGGTGATGAGGGTATGCATGCTGCCGCTACTACAAGAAAGTCAATCAAGATACTGATGCCGGAAAGACATTCACACTGCCAACGAGCGCAGGCTTAGCTCGCACCGGCCGAAGCCGTAACGAGCAGGTCGTCTGCGCCTGTGGCTCCGCGACGAGCTCCGCAAGCGCGAGGGGCACCTCATCAGCTTCTTGAGGGTCACCGCCCACCGAGCAGAGAAGGGGATTGATTCCATCATGCCCGGTTACACCCACCTGCAGCGCCCCTAGCCTGTCCGCTAGAGCCACTGGATGCTTTCCTACACCGTGCCTTTTGCCGACGACCTCGAGCGCCTCCGCGAGATCGTGAAGCGTGTGAGGAGGAATCCATTGGTCGCGGTGCACTGGCTGGCATCCCCTTCAACATCGACCGTGAGGCTATCTCCACGGAATTCGGCTTTGAGCGCCTGCTGTGGAACTCCATGGCCGGTGTTGCCTCATTATTTACTCCTCTGGCGAGTTTGGCTTCGTTCACCTCACCGACGCCTGTTCAACGGGGGATTCCCTCATGCTGCAGAAGAACCCGGACAGTTTGGAACGCGGCAAGAGTGGCTGTGTCTTTGGCCTGATGGCCGGCCTCATGATGGCCCAGAAGGGTCTTCTCAGCACCTACAACAAGGACCTCCAGGAGTCCTGAGAGCCCATGCTCGGTCACATCAAGACCGTCAGCGACAGCTCCCAGATCGCCGAGGGCGTCCTCGCCACCCTCGTCACCCAGCCGGAGAAGATGAAGGCGGCCCTCGACCCCTTCATGCTCGCCACTGATCTGGGCGACCACCTTGTCCGTAAGGGCGTCCCCTTCCGCGAGACCCACCACATTTCCGGCCGCTGCGTCGCCCTGTCGGAGAAGACGGGCATCCCGACGAACGAGCTCTTCTACGAGCAGATCAAGAGCTTCGACGCCCGTGTCAAGGAGGACACTGCAGAGACCTTCAACTACGAGCAGAGCGTCGAGATGATGGCGTCCAAGGGCGGAGCCAGCAGGCCCAGTGTCCTCGAGCAGATTGCTGTCCTGCGTGCCTCTCTGCATCAGAAAAGCAGTTTGTTTTTCACCATCGAAAATGATTTAGGGCGTCCTAGGTTCAATGGCAGCGAGTACTAGGTTAGGTCCTGGGTTGAACGAGTGGGAATTGGCTACGACAAAGAGAAACGGGAATCAAGAACTCTATTAAACCTGGGATGAAAAGTTGGGAAGGATGTACGTGTGTCGATAGAAGAAGTTCCAAAATATTTCCCCAGTGTCGATGAACAATGCCTACTGTCCCATTGGATGTTTGACGTAACGATTCAGTACCAAATGAGCCAGCGGCTTGGAGAGAAAAAAGGGGGCGCCAGGTGAGCCAAGCTGGAGAGGCACTTTAACCGAGTTAAATCCGCCAGCGGCAGGCAGTTTGCAGCACAGCTCAGTGTAAGGTGGTGCGCCGCCCATGCAGCAGCTCCAACACGTCACAACCCAAAAATTCAGATCGACATCGCGTCAAAAAAACACCATCAAATTCGCCGGGCAAAACAAATTCGCCGGGCAAAAACATCACCGATTTTCCTACTATCGTCCACGCACCCGAAATTCCATCCAAATCGTTAGATCAATTTCCGACACGCACCTTGGACGGCAAAAATCTCGATCTCGAAATTTCCATAACATGTCCGGCCTTGACAGCCAACGGCTGGGAGCCGTCTTCCACTCCCGGCCAGATATTCTGAAAGGGATTGCAAAGGCAGCTGGTACGTTTGACAGTTCCAATTGCCCATATTCTGGTTTTTGAGGCACTCAAACTGATCGTCGCTACTACCAGATACCCCCGACCGCGTAGCCCTCTTCAACAACATCGCCAGCTTCGTACACGAGCAAATTCACGGACCAGAGCCCGCCTCGAAGCGCAGGCGGGTAGACGGGGGCCCAGCAAATGGCTTCAAGTCCACAAATGCGAACGGAAAAGCCGCAGCAAGCGCGCCCAAGGCTGCTTCCAGTCCAGGGAACCCCGCAGACGAAGATGTTCTCCTCGAGATCAAGGAGATCTCCGTCTCAGTACCCCAGCGCAAGAAATACGAGCTCTGCTTCACCGCAAATTACCTCTACGCGCGCGCTCCAGGCACCACTACGCCCGTGGAGGGCATCATCTACGCCTGGGAGGACATCGGTACGTCCCTCTTCTACCTGTAGAGATAGGCACCGCAAGCCAAAGCTAACAAACTGGACAGAGTACGCCTTCTACCTCCCCGTCCCCGAAAAGACCCAGGTACAACACAACTACGTCCTCTTCCCGAGGGGGACCTGCCTGCCAACGAAAACGGCACCCGAGAAGGAGGCCCTCGTCTTCACCGTCCCCTCGACGCCCCCGAAGCAAGGCACCATCGCAGGACCTAAAGCCAACGCCGCCGCCGCCGTCTCGGACACCTACCGCACCCTCTTCGACTGGGCCCTGACCACACATCTCAGCTCCGCAGGCAACAAAGCCGAGATCGTCGCCGCGGACCCGTCGAAGTTCCACAGCCTCGTCCGCCAGCCGCACCGCCCCAATGAGAAGGCCGTGCACGTCAAGGCCTTCCGCGGGTCCAAGGACGGATACCTCTTCTTCCTGCCCAACGGCATCTTGTACGGGTTCAAGAAGCCGCTGGTCTTCTTGCCCACGGACCGCATCGTTGCGGTGAGCTACACCAACGTGCTGCAGCGGACGTTCAACATGGTCGTTGAGGTGTTCGGCGAAGGCGACACGACGGAGGAGATTGAGTTTGGGATGCTGGACCAGGAGGACTACGCGGGCATCGACGAGTCCTACGTGAAGCGTCACGGGCTGCAGGATCGCAGTATGGCGGAGCAGAGGAAAGCCAAGATGGAGCTCACGGAGAATCTGAAGGCGAAGAAGGGCGAGGAGGCAGAGGCGAATGGGGAGGCTGGGACGGGCCTGTCCGAGCTGGCGAAGGCGCACCTGGAGGCAGAACAGAATCTTCAAGATGACGAGGACGAGGATGAAGAGGATTACGACCCTGGCAGCGAGGGGGAGAGCGAAGGGTCTGGGTCCGATAGTGACGATGACGACGACGATGATGATGAGGGCGATGACGACGATGAGGAGATGGATGATGGTGAGGGCGAGGAGTAAGGTGCTTGGTGCTTGCGATGGATTTGGTTGCGGTAGACTGCCGCGAGATTTGCGAAGTGTACGATATCACGCCGTCGAACAGTGACGGACACCGACGTCTCTGCAAACTGGCATGTAGAGAGAAAGGCGCATCGGCGTAGCCCGGGATGAATACAGACGTTGCTCACGGAGCAACATTACGCATCTAAGACGCACTTCCGTTATGGACGGTTCCCGCCATTGCTGCCGCCGCCATTTGTGTGAAGAACTCGATGCTCTGGCTACTCTTGGTCTACTCATGACGACAGCACTCTGTGAGAAACCAATCAGCATGAGCACCCTTTATGGCCATGTAAGCGTCTATCTCAGGGCGGTGAGAGATGAATGTTGCGCTCTCCCTCCCCTTCTGCCCCGTTTTCTTTTTCTCGGGGAATTGGTGGGGGTGGGGATGCCAAATCTCGTTCCATAGAGCCATCTGCGACTCCCAGGACACCGATTTTTCATCGCGCAATATCCGAGACTCGGTAGAGTATGTCATTACTGGCTCTTAGCATGTCTCCAAGGTACTGTCGGACGTGATGGGACCTTGTCAGTGTAATTTTCGGTCGTGTAGAAAACATACAAAGCAGTATTCATCATCTATTGATAATGGGTCAGGTTGTTGTCTGTTACACTCGGCGTCATCTGAATAACCGGCCCGAGACCAGGGTCTTTTCGGCTTGTAGGGGAGGCATTCGGAGTCCGGACGGCCGTTGATGGAGTTTCCCCATGACTAACACAAATGTGGCCAAATAGAATTGCTCTACTTGGTATTCCCCAAGGACGTTCAGTTATGCTAAGACCTCCCCCAGCCGGGCGAGTTGAGTAGATGTGCTGCTCCCTGTCTCTCAAAATTATCTGGGGTTCTGATAAGTGGCGCAAATACGAGCAGAACATCTGCTGCCACCCGGAAGTCTGCGAGAAAGAGTCTTGTGTCCGTTGACAGCTTGGGATTGAAGGACCTGAAATACTTACTGTGCCTACCATCAGCGATATGAATACCTTGAACTTTCTATACAACGCAAATAGTGTAATATGTAGACAGTCTTGATGAGACTTGAACAAGAAGTCAGTTCCGGGACTAAGTGCTCAGCAACCATCACGATTCATAATATGTTGGCTTAGGCGGTCTGATTTCTCCTAACTCCTCTCCAGCGCTGGAGGCCTTCAAATCGATAGCCATCTCCGGAGTCTCATTAGGATGTTCCAAGTGTCTGTCGTGCAACTACTTCTTTCCGCTGCCGATGAGTGCGCGCCCTCGTGCTGCCCTCCCTTGAAAACCATCTTGAGTCAGTCCGACAGTGCAGCAAAATCGCTGAAAGCCATCATCACCACATGGGAATTCGCTTACTGAAGCTAGGGTTCATTGGCCCACACCACGAGGGCGGCTCACCTGAGCGCCAAGTAGCTGCATATTGCAAAATTGGGGATGTTAGCCACACGTCGCGATTGCTTTAAGCCTTCTTTCAATGTCATCCGCAGAGTCTAGCCCTATTTGACTCAGACGTCCGAGGATTCGACTGCATGTGGCACATCACACCCTCTGTCCAGGCTGAACATTGGCGCGACATCACGTCGGCCCCCGGAGACTACAGACAGCCCGGCAGAATGAGGCACGCCGGCGTTTTCCCCCCGTCGAGCAGAAAAGATCCCCTTGACAATCAACAAGCGACTTGGCCGAGTTCAATGGGAAGATTCGCGGGACTATCGGGGACTCAAGCGCTGCCTCATCTCAGCCTAGCTGAATTCCTCTCGTTCAGATCGTAGAATATAAGAGACTCCAGTTGCGCACTGCTCAATGGGAATCTCTTAACATTGCAACAGGCAGCTCGTCAATTCAATCTGCAACAAACACCATACACTATGAGATTCCTGGCATGTCTTTGGCCGTACGCACTCTTCGGTGCTTTGGTCCAATCGCTCCAATGTGCAGAACCACTCGTGCGCAAAGAATGGTAAATCGGCGAGAACCTAGGTATGGCCCGTATGAGTGCTTCTTTACTGACGATCTCTACCAATAGGCGTTCATTATCGATTGAGGAACGTTCAAACTACATCTCAGCCGTAAAGTGTTTGCAAGCCAAGGAACCGACTTCGTCCAAAGACACCCTCCCGGGCGCAACCAACCGATTTGAGGACTTTGTGGGAGACCACATACTTCAAACTGTGAAGCAGCACTTCACCGTAAGTACCCGAGGCATGTAATGGCGAGCGCTAACCAAATTCAGGGCACATTTCTTGCTTGGCATCGACTGTTTCTGTCTGAGTACGAACAAGCCATACGAGAATGTGGTTTCGAAGGCGCCCAGCCATACTGGGACTGGTCTCTCGACGCCGAAGATCTTGGGGCCTCGGAAGTATTCGATCCAGAGTCCGGTTTTGGAGGAAATGGCGAGTGGGTTCCAGGTACCTTCGAAGACCCCGAAGAAGGGATTCCCGTCACTGCAGAAGGTGTGCCTGTTTCGTTTGATGGCCGAACAGGCGGTGGCTGCATCCCAAACGGGCCTTTCGCCAACATGACGATTCACATGGGCCCGGGAGCCAGCACGACGTACTACGAGTGGTGTGTCAGGCGGGACTTCATGCCGCAGTTCTTCAATGAATCGGCGCATTCGACCGTGATTTCGCGGCTGATGCTCTTACCTGATTTCGGACAGCTGACCCGTCAAGCCGAGCTCAGCGTCCATGGTGCAGGACATCCGGGCGTCGGTGGTTTGTACGGAACATTGACTGACACCTACTCCAGTCGTAAGTCTAACATCTTGTTGCTGATCAATCTGCGAAGTGTTGCTGACAAGCAGTCAAGCCGGAGATCCTCTGTTCTATCTTCATCATACCAACCTGGACCGACTTTGGTGGTCATGGCAGTCAAGGGATCTGTCCACACGACTGAGCGATATCTCTGGTCCTATCGTCGCTAATGATTGGGCAAACGAGGTGGACCGCAACGTCACGTTGGACGATACAGTCTATGTTGGCACTTCAAACATAACCACACGCACAGTCAAACAACTTATGGATGTTCGCGAGGAGTTGTTGTGTTATACTTATGAAAATTTGTACTGAACACGAGACCCTGACTCAAAAACGTATCATCTTGGAGATTCTGCCAACGGGCTCTGAAATACCTCCAGTTTCATAGCATCAATCACCAAAGCTAAGCCAAAATCATCGTTTGATTTCGTGATGACGTTTCTAGTTGAAGATGAAAGCCATGTGAAATATAGCAGCTCGCGGTATCAAGTTGATGCATGGTGGGGGATTCATTTTGCTGACTGCTGCCCCCCTAAGCAAAGTAGACTTTCATCAAGCCTATAAACAAAAGTTTGGTTGCTAACAACTTTTTCTGTGGACGCTGAATCTGCAGTGGCAACTATAATTGGAAGACTCAAAGACATTAGAGTGCAATCCTAATCCATGAGAGCTATCAGATCTTGGAGTCTTTCTGTAAAGATTGTAGGATTGTATCAGTCATCCATGAGTTCTATGTCATCAGGCAACGACACCATCAGGAAGGTCCAGATGGCTATTGACCCATACCCGTCTCGCAAATGTAGTAGGAGATCGACTCATATACGAAGCACTCACATGATTGACATGCTGGATTCGACATATTCTATTGCCAGAAAGAAGAGGATGGTAAGAGTACATGTACATTCATTTCAATCGCAATCACTTTCATTGAGTTTGTAGAAGCTTTGACATTGTTTTTCTCGTGAAAAAGTCAACACCTTTCAGTGTGGGTAGATCTCCGCAAACAACCGGATACATGGCGTACCATTGCACCCGGTCTCGCGTTATCAATTCTTAGATCATTTCCTTGTGAGCTATAGCGCAAGAAGCCTACATACGCAATGCCGTAGATGAATTGCTTCCAAAATTACAGGTGAGAACTAGTTATGAATCATCGATAGCGGCTTGCTTTGAACAAATATTTCATTGTCGTCCGGTGTTTCTAACTGGAATCTTGCATAGTAATCTCGAAAACTCCCAAGTTGATGTGCTTGTGTGCCGCATCCCAGGTTAATTCCACAGAGGAAGGAAAATGAACACTGGAAGTACGGTTGTGTGTAGGATCAAACTTCTCAGGCCCACTCAACACGTCTTGCCGTCTTTAAAGTTTGATTTGCAAAAGTCGCTGCAGCTTTGATTGTCTTCAACTTGCGAGAAGCCGAGGCACGATGATCCTTGAAATGTGCAAGTACACCTCTATAACAAGGTTTCGTTAGAAAAGCGTCGTAGAAAAGAAAGGGAAAGAGGGAATGCCGATTATTTCCTGTCATATTTCTTGACTGAACGACAGCAAGCCGCAAGAAAAGCGTGGCGGAACGAGCAAGGTTCAAAGTGGGTTGACTCGACTTACTTGTAGTGCAAAAGCATTTCCAAGAAATACAGAAAAGGATACGGCAATGATAGAGAGCCTCATTGTACTAATGGTACCAAGATAACGAGACTTGAGATATTTTAACTTGTCAGAATCCGAAGATGCGCCAGTGTAGGAAAACTGATTGCTTCGAGTTGGATTCGGGGTGGCTTTTATGTGTTGTGGAAAAACAGGACTGGCATGAGACTTTGCAATGATCATTCCGCAATGTGGCATCCCTCTATAGCCAGACCCATTTGCCGGACTCTTCCCGCAAAAGTCACCGGACCGGTGATATTAACAAGTGCATTAAGTTGACAGGTCCTGCCTGCGGTCTCGCGGGCAGTTCAAAGCTCTAATTGGGTTGCAAGGTCGACTTTCCACGTTTCTACGAAACCTGGGCTGGTCTAGGCGAGACGCAAAGGAGGTCAGCAAAAAAGGCCTCGGAACCATAGACGCAGAGAAAGCTGACTCGAATTGTTCTTCTAATTCTTAACTAGGGTGGTAGTGATCTCTTCGATCTTAGGGAGAACAACGCTCTTGGGAAATCCACACAGGTCAGCAAACGGATTTGCAACCACATGGGGATATTTCACATGGGCCTCGCCTGAATCACACCAAACTTCTCAAAGCTGCCAAGCCACCTTCACCCTGACTTGCTCATTTCGGTGATCTCATGTCATGGCCGTTAAATACGAGTTCGGTTCATAGAGTAGGAGACATGTTGCGTGTCGCTATGGGGTGATGGCAAGGATTAGGGGATTTCGGGGTCAACAAGCTGCCCGTTCTCGGAAAACGATTACCCAAAAGAAAGCAAACTTCGCCGAGCCAGAAAACAAAAGCACTGCAATTCTGACTCGGGGGTGATATTTGTGTCCGGCCTGGTTCTTTATAAAGCCTCCATCATATCTCAAATTTAACCAGTTCTAACATTATCTCATATCGTTCTCCGTTCACTCTAGCGCTGAATGATTTAGGCCGACAGGCTTCGTTCGTGGCTGAGATCAGCTCTTTAAGAAAAGGCTCAGATGCTTCTGTTTTAACTAAGTAGAGCTCTCACGACTACTTGCCATGTGTCCCCACGAATGCTGCATAGTTTCGTCGGGCAACGAAGGGCAGACCGTGCGATAAGACATTCCGTCAGCTTTTCCGAGCCTGATGTGTCTCTTTTGCCGTTGTTTTACGGCTTAAGGGTGTTTCCGGTGCCAACGAGGTTGATGCCACTTGCTGACGATCAAAGTATTGGCACACGATCTGACCTGACGAACGGTAAGCACGAACGGTATACGTCCCCGGGCAGCCAACAAGCCTTCTTTCGGAGACGCATGCGACATACAGAGACCCACCTGCGGCCGATCTTGGGCCGGGAGTGGAGGCTGTGAACGGACACAGCTCCGGTTCGCCGCAATTACGTTGCCCATGACGGTGACAGCTGTATAGTTTTGGGCTGCCATTAGGTTTGTGTCGTTTCAAGAATCTCTCGAGGGAATAGATCGTACAGGCAGTAATTCCTTTTTATTCTGTGCAACCGTCCCTGATATCCGACAGATCCTATGAACATTGATACTTTTTCTCCCACATGATCGACGAATAAGTCCAGTGTACCAGGAAGCTATTGTAGGATTCGTTCTCCCTTTTCAATCGCACTGCACATGTACAAGAGCATAATGACATCCAACACCCATTTGACGCACGTAGCCAGACGATTATTTCTCATCGCACCTTGGCGTCTTGCAGCCACTGAGACCACGGACCGCCCAAGCCGACAGCAACACGCTAGTCTCAACGCGAGCCAGACATTGTCGCTTTGGCCCATCTAAGATTGCGAGGCGTTGGTGATTGGCCCCGACCGAGACGTGGCTCGCTTCCCTCCAAATTTCCCGTCAGCACTAGACTCGTTCCCGTTGACAGGTCCAAGCGAAAGGGCATCCCGCGAACTCCTTTTATTCAAGACGGGAACGCCCGACCTGAACTCTATCAGACGTTTCCCGTCGTCTGCACTCCGCCCTACTCTCTTACAAGACCAGACATAAGACCGCGACCTCAACACCATGGACGGCCCATCGACGGACGGTGCCACGACGTATGACTGCATCGTCATTGGCGCGGGATACTCTGGCCTCGCAGCCGCACGGCTCCTGAAGGACTCGGGGAAGAAGGTCCTTGTCCTCGAAGCGCGCGACCGCGTCGGCGGACGCGCAAAGACGGTGCACCTCGAGAATGGCGACTACTGGGACGTCGGGGCGACGTTTCTCGGGCACAAGCAGAACTTGATGTACGAGCTTGCCAAGGAATTCGACGTGCCCGTTTTCAAACACCCGACCGAGGGCAAGATCGTGCTGGCGTACCGGGGGAAGGCACGCAGCTACAGCGGCTTGATTCCTCCCATGCGGCCGTGGGAGGTTCTCGATATTGGAATGTTTGTCCGGAAATTTGAAAAGCTCTGCGACACCGTCAACATGGAGGAGCCGTGGAAGACGCCGAATGCGGAGGCTCTGGACCGGATGACTGTGCATGAGTGGATGAAGAAGAAAGCCTGGACGCAGGCGACGATTGACATGGGCAACATGGCGTTCGAATCAACCATTGCGGCAAACACATCCTGCATCTCCATGCTTCATGCCATGTTCTTCTTCAAGGGGCTTGTAAACTTTACCTCGGCGTGTGGTGTAGAAGGGGGAGCACAGGAGCATTTCGTTAAGGGCGGTGGTCAGCTGATTGCGGAGAAGCTGAGGGGGTATCTTGGTGATGATCTGGTCCGACTGCAGGAGCCGGTTCGGTCCGTTTCTTACACGGAGAGCGGTGCGACAGTGCGGACATCGAAAGGGGAGTATCAGACCAGGAGGATCATCTCGGCGATTCCCCCCCCACACATCCTGAAGATTGACTTTGAGCCGAGACTGCCGGTCGAAAAGGTTACATTGCTTCAGCACACGCCAATGGGGGCCTACATGAAGGTCTTTGCGACTTACAAAACGGCCTTCTGGAGAGACAAAGGGTTGACAGGAGAGAGCACGAATCCGACAGGGTTTCTGAGTGTTACATACGACGCGACGCCGGAGTCAGGATACCCTCCCAAGCTCACCGGATTCATCGTCGGCAGCAAGGCGAGGGAGTTTATCAGCTTCAGCAAAGAGCAAAGACGACAAGTGGCCCTGGCGGGTTTTGCTTCTGCGTTTGGACAGGAGGCCTTAGATCCTGAGGATTTCTTTTTTCACACAATGATGGAGGATGAGTGGGCTACAGGATGTCCGATGGCGACTCCTGCCCCGGGAATGTGGACGTTGCTAGGCGAATGGGTTCGGAAACCTGTTGGTGCTATTCACTGGGCTGGCACGGAGACATCGTCGAAGCACTATGGCTACATGGAGGGAGCGGTTTTCGCGGGTCAGAGAGCTGCGAAGGAGGTGCTGGAAGAGTTGAAGTGGAAGATCTGAGACGTGTTATGTGGAGGAAAGGGACACAGGAGTCGTGTCGAACTAGTCGTACTTTCCTATATCAGCGTACATCACATGTAGATACCTTAATTATTGACCGTCGATATTATATTTCCGGGGTTGTTGTTTGCCATGCTCTGTTATGGGGGTCCTTATCTCTCAAAGTCCGGCTGAAGAAAAGTCTAGGTCCTTGAAAACATTGCTGCAATGCGTCGTCAAATTAAGGAGAAAGAGACACGCAGCCGTCAGCGCTGTCCTCCTCGAAGATGCCTCCAAAGATGATACCCTCGTTGATGCCAGACTCGTGGAAACCAGTCTTGGTAGTGTCGCCAGTGCCGTTGATCGACTTCTTCAGGACACCAAAGTGGAACTGTCCCTGGCCAGAAATGTCGTTCTCAACCGGCTTGCCCTGAGCAACAAGGGGGGCGCTGCCCTGGGAGTAGTATATCTGGGTCATGCTTCGAGACATTGTTAGCAGTGGCTTCTAGAGTGAGATTCTCTCTGCTTACTTCTTGGTGAAGTCCAATGTCAGCGCAAAGTTGTGGAAGACCCCATCCGTGAACTTGGTCCTGAAGAGCTCGGGCTGGAAGGGCTTGGTGTTGGAGTTGCCAAAGAGAACCAAGACATCAGGGTCCGCGGGGTGGATGCCGATGAGGTCTCCGTACTTGAGCGCGTACTGGTTCGAGCTGAAGATGGAGCTTTCGAGGAAGACCATTTGGTACTCGTGCGTGAGGTTGAGGGGCTTCTTCGGGTCCTTCATCATACTCCAATGAACTGTCTTGATTCCGGCGGTGGAGGGGTCTGTGCCGTTGTTGCTCATGGGCAGCATCTCCGCACGGCGGAAGCCTGTTTGCACGTTGGTCTCGGTCGGTGCAAAGATGGAGCGGTCATCGATGTTGACTTCGAAGGGCTTGCTGAAGTTCGCATCGAACTGTACAGGGCATTAGCAACGGGGTTCGTCTATCGTCAAGCTTAAGCAGCGACCCACGAGAGAGTTGAGGCCAGTAGGAATAGTCACGACATCGCTAGCCTTGAGGCCCTTGCCGAAGACAAAGCCGTTGTTGAAGGGACTGGCTGACGTATCGAAGTCGGTAGGAGTGAAGTTGGTCGGCACTCGGCCCTCGAATTGGATGGGACACTGCTTGGCAGCGTTGGCGGCACCAGCCGCAGATAGAAGGAGGGACAAGGTGGAAACGAAAGAGGGCGACATTTTGAAAATAGTCTTTCTGATATGTTACACCGAATTGAATGGGAAAAGAGCGAATAGATCGGACGATCTGAACGAATGAAGACGGAAGAGACCTGCTGGGCAATTGTTCACGAGGGACCAAGAATCGTCCGAACCAACAACTTGCAGATCATTCTTGATTTTATAAAGGCAGGGACGCGATATCCCATCGGCTTAGTCTAAATTGTAGATTCATCTCTCCTGGTTTCTCATTCGTTCGGGCCATCTGCACCCTGCTGACAGTTGCGACGAAGCTTCCGGGATGCCGCTATCACGATTCATTCGAGATGATGGACGGTATTGAAAGGGTATCGCAGCGGCCCGTTCGGTATCGCAAACTGGCCGTTCAAATGTGTACTGTCCAATCATTTGGGGGCACAGTCCCATATTCTCTCTCTGTTCGAGTCCGCCGGTGACCGGTGGGATGGGTTTCTAATTTGTCTGAGACTGGAATAGAGTTTAGCTACAGTCCCGGAGCGGATTCCTCTGTAGGCTCGCAGCACACGATTCATGTCAGGGGCATAGAAGGCCTGTTCGTCTGTTGTTGAACAGAGCTTTACAGGGGACGTCTTCAGTTACATATGACGACGCGGTAGCGCTGCCGGTGGGATACCACATTCCACATTCCCGGGACCACGTCTATGGGTATCGCAGGATGAGGATGTGGTCGTAGGATGATTGTACGGAACGAACCCTGAAGATGGATTTCGGCATGCCAAACTACCCGAGAGAGCCGGACCAGTGGGAACGAACTTGCATCTAATTCTAGTTAATTGACAATACTCTTGCGAATCTGGATCGAAGCTTTCCTGGTTATCATAGACAGCATCACGATGCTTAGTGGGCATTTATTAAAGTACAAACAGAATGTTCGTAGTGTGGCGTAAACCTCCACAAATCGGATGTGGCTGGGCCCAAAAGAAAGAAGAACTGGCATCTAATAGAGGTTGTTCTTGCTGTAGGTCTTACCTTATCTACAAATCCTCATGAAGTGGACATTTTGTTAGCTAAATGCCATTCGAACGCTGAACATAGAACATCGCAATCAGACATGATCGTGAAATTAAACACCAGACGTAAGGGATCGTTGACGAATACACACGCCTTTGACACAGATCATGCGATGGTGGGCCTAAATAATTGCTTTTCTCGGGAACGGCGTTCCGCTGGCGTCGAAGGGCAAGTTGAAGTCCGAAGCATGTCGTACTCGAACAATGCATCATGACCAGAGCCCAAGAAAAAGTTGTACGCAACTGATTGATCGGCTCTGTTGGTTTCGATATGCCATCCCTTGCCCTCATTGCATGGCATACACACACGTTCGAGAAGAAATGCCAAACCCTTGGCGTGGGGAGATAAGGGGCAGGGAGACCAGAACCACGCTACCTTGGCAACACAACTAACCATCTTGTCTCTTAGCACGTCGGATAGTACCGATCTAACGCTCTGATTCGTCTTTGCAGACGCTTTCAGCTACCAAGCCACATGGCAACCAACAGCAAGACCACTCATCTCCCGTCTGCAGCCCCATCCCTTAACACGCAAGACCTGGACGCTAGAGCCACCCGATGCAGCCAAGCTTCCTCCCGTCAACGATAGTCTATCCCAAGGGTCAGGAACGGCAGCAAACATGGCGCGGCTTTATTCATGTTAAGCTTGCTTTTCGAAGCTGCAAGCTCCGGGAGAGATTTCGCGATTAGGGAAGAAGAGACATTCGCTAGACCTTTCCTCCTTACCTCTATCGGGTTTCGATGGCTGCACTATGGGCTGTTCCAGGCTCGGCGTCTGGACGGCAAATGCATGGCGCCCATGCGGTTCGTCTTGAATGTAAGTCCTGCAATGAGTCCGTCGGGTGTCTCGCCAGAGTTGATGATTTCTGTCCTTCTTCCTCTTGCACATTCGTCTCGGGGGCTTTTCTTCAACGGTGCGCTCTTCGAGCCCATCATCACGGTCCTTACCAGGTTTTTGTATGCGTCCACACTCGTTTCTTGCGAATTGCATTTTCTTGCAGTGAAGTGGTTCTATCGAGACCACCAGCTTTCACCAAGCCGCCTCAGATTAAGTTCTTCGAGGCTTCCACTCGTTTTTGTCAACCGCCTGCTCCCAACTTTGGAGGGCTCGTTCTCAAAATAGCTGGTTTCATCGCGACGATCTTTCATGATGACGCTCACGAACCACGATGATCTGAGGGGTCTAGTCGACGCTCTTTACCAGTTAACCCCCGACCTTATCAAGACCGATGAACGATTTATTTCCTTACAATCCTCGAACTTCGACCGCGAGGAAATCCTCCGGTCACTCTACGCACCCAAGGAGCCCTCGCTCAGGCCCCTCTACCTCTTGTACACACTCTTGACCGAGATATCCGGCTCCTGGCCCCCACTGCCTCTCATCGACTGCCATACCAGACTCACCAGATGCCTTCCCGAAGGAACCAAAACCAACCCCGACGAGAACTCAAAATGGCTCATTGAAAAGACGAGGAGATTGGTGAAAGAGTCGTACCACTCCTTCGGGCAGTTCATCGGACGAGACGACAGACCAGCGCTGCGGTCGACGAGCCCCACCAACTACATCACCCACCGCGGTCTCAGGAACTTTGTCGAATGCTTCCGATTACCCCTCGAACATGGCACACGGAACCCGATTGTCGCCATCGCGCTTCCGAACGGGCCGCTCTTGGCTGCGGCGGTCATGGCCGTTGCAACGTACTACACCTCTGCGCCCATCAACCCCGCGGTAGGCCCGGAGCAGTTCCAGGCCGATGTTCTCCAGGCCGGCGCGCGGTGCATCATCACCACGCCAGAGGACTACAAGAAGCTGGACTTGAACAGTGCTTGGGTCTCCAAGTCCGGTATCCAGGTCGTCTTTGCTGAGTGGAATCAGGGCGACGACATCACTCTCCAGACCATGACGGGTTCCCCTCTGCCAATCTCAGACACCCCCAGACCCAACAAGGCCGACGAGGTCGCATTGATACTCTTCACCAGCGGAACATCGGGGACGAAGAAGGTCGTTCCTTTGACGACACACTCCATGATTGCAGGCATTTCTTTCGTGGTAGACTCCTGGGGTCTGACGTCCGCGGACATCTGTCTCAACATGATGCCGCTGTTCCACGTGTAAGTGAGACTGAAAATCAGTCACAGACTTTTTGGCTCCAGCTAATCGGGCCCTACAGCGGCGGCTTGGTGAGAAACATCTTTGCGCCCATTTTCTCCGGAGGCTCGACGATATGCTGCCCCGCATTTGATCCAAGTCTCTTCTGGGATATGAACGAGGAGATCCAGCCGACGTGGTACTACGCATCGCCGTCCATGCACTCGGTCATTCTGGCGGGGGCAGAGTCACGACCTACGGCCTTGCTGAATAGCAAAATCCGACTTGCATGCAACGCGGCGGGTGGTTTGCTCCCATCGCTCGCCTGCCAGCTGAGGGACACGTTCAACTGCGTCGTGTTGCCGAGCTACGGAATGACTGAGTAAGTCTAGCTCGTTCTCGCGCCAAGCTATCGCAACTGACGCAACACTAGGTGCATGCCGATCTCGACGCCTCCGCTAGACTACAAGTTAGACCGCCCAGGAACATCAGGAATCAGCACGGGGCCGGACCTGACCATCCTCGACTACTCCGACGAACGTGTAGCACCCGGCGAAGTGGGAAGGATTTGCGTCCGAGGAGAGCCGGTGTTTTCGGGATACCTCAAACCGGACGGATCTTTCGACAAGTCGCCCTTCAACGAAGATGGTTGGTTCGACACTGGCGACCTGGGATACATGGATGATGACGGGTATCTGTACATCACGGGCAGGAGCAAGGAGGTCATCAACCGTGGCGGGGAGCTCATCTCGCCCTTTGAGGTTGAGAATGCCATCATGGCCGCATCGATGGCTTTCGGAACGCCGATTTCAGGACGCATCTCACAGGTGCTCGCGTTCTCTGCAGCTCACGATGTTCTCCAGGAGGTTGTGGGAGTCGCCATCGTACCTGCCGTGGATAGGCCCCGAGTCGACTTGAAGACTATCCAGAACGCCCTGAAGCAATCGCTGCAGCAGGCGAAGTGGCCCGTTTGCATCGTTTACATGGAAGATCTTCCGAAGAAGAACAACAAGATCTTGCGAATCAAGTTGGCTGAAAGGCTGAAACTGCCAGAGCTGACAGATACAACGCCTTACATCGAGAGACACTGGGAAGCCGACTGCCCTCCGCCAGATACCTCTCTCGACGTGCCAATATCCTCTCGCCTGTGCATCATAGATCCCGACGAGCTAGCCGCTTGCCTGTGCTCCATCACGCCAGCGAGCTTTGAGGGCTATCTCCGCTTCGACTCGAGGCTCGGCATGGCCGAAGCCTTCCTTGCACCCAAAACTCCCGGGTTAGAGCCCCTGAGTGTTGAATTCTTGGATCACATCCGGCAGGAGATGGCGACTCAAGTCCACAACTACATGATTCCCAGCAAGTTCCACGCCATGAGGCTGCCGCTCCCTCAGTCTGAGAAGGGAGTTATCGACGAGACAAGACTTCAAGAAGACCTGAATCAGCTTCTCGCCGACCAGCTTCAGGGCCTATCGAGCACGACAGAGGGTAAGGTGACCAAGATCTTCGCAGAGGTGCTCTCATGCAGCCCCTCCGATATCCCAACGGACACCGACTTCTTCAGCTTGGGAGGAGACTCTCTCAGCGCCGGAAAGCTCATGTCCGCACTCCGGTCAGAGCTAAACACCAGCATTCCAATCAGTCTCATCTTCAACCACGGAACGGTCACCGACATCTCAGCGCACATCGACAAGATCTCCGCGTCGACCTTCCACGACGAAGACGCCAAAGCGAACGACGACCACCTCGTCACGACCGAGCCGAAAAGCTCGACAAACCCATGGCTGATGGCCATCCAGCTCCTTCCACTCGTCGTCTTCTACCCCATGCGCAGAGCTCTCCAGTGGACCGTCTTCCTCGTTGCCCTCGCGCAAACCCAGTTCTGG